TTTGATTACTGATCAATTTCTTTGCTGGTTATGGGTTTGTTCAAATTTTCTATTTCTTCCTGTTTCAGTTTTGGTAGTTTTTATGTTTCTAGGAATGTGTCCATTTCTTCCAGATTACCGAGTTGATTGACATAATTTTTCCTAATACTCTCTTACGGTTATTTGTATTTCTGTGGTGTTGGTTATGATCTCTCCTCTTTCATTCCTGATTTTATTTATCTAGGTTCTTTCTCTTTTCTTTTTGATAAGTCTGGCTAGGGGGTTATCAATTTTATTAATACATTCAAAGAATCAGCTCTTAGTTTCGTTGATCTGTTCTGCTGGGTTTTGTTTGTTTGTTTCTACTTCATTTATTTCTGCTCTAGTCTTTATTATTTCTCTTCTTCTGCTGGCTTTAGGCTTTATTTTCTGTTCTTTTTTAGCTTCTTTACATGTAAGGTTAGGTTGTGTCTTTGAGACTTTTCTTGCTTCTTGAGATAGGCCTGTATTGAATATACTTCCCTCTTAGGACTGCCTTTGCTGCGTCCCAAAGGTTTTGGACTGTCATGTTTATATTTTCATTTGCTTCCATGTACTTCTTTATTTCTTCTTTAATTTTCTGATTTACCCATTCATTCTTCAGTAGGATGTTCTTTAACCTCCATGTATCTATGGTCTTTCCAAATATTTTCTTGTGGTTGACTTCAGGTTTCATAGCTTTGTGGTTTGAAAATATGCATGGAATGATCTAGATCTTTTTGTGTTTGTTGAGGGCTGATTTGTGACCCAGTATGTTTGTTGCACTGGTTCTCACTACTTGCCCATGTAGAGATGCATATGCAAGGTGCAGGGGGCAGGGCTTAGTGTAAGCACCCGGTCTCCACTTGGTGGTGCTCTTTAGCTCACTGAGGTTGCTCAGTACTGATGGGCGGCGGGGAGGGGAAGGGGAAGCAAAATGGCTTTGCCTGGCTCTCCCATCCCCAAGGCAGGGAGCTTGTGCCTGCCACTTTTCATGTAGTCCTCACAGAAAATCACTTCTCTTGTGTCCCTGGCTTTCATCAAATCCCTGTCTTCATGCTGTCTGTGTCTGAGCTGTTTTATCTCAGGTGTGTGGCTTGATTTCTAAACTCCGAATTTTAGGGACTTGTACAGTAGGGCCCTGTGCTGATCCTCTGGGGGAGGGTCTCGCCAAGCTGTTGCCCCTTGCCAACTGTCCCAGGAAAATGTTTGCAGGACCGCACAGTGGTTTTGAGTTCATGGCAAAGTGGAGCAGAAAACTGGCGTCAAGACTCGCTGTCCTCAGTCAGTGTCCCTGCTCCTATGCCTGGGAATCGTGTAGCACGTTAGCACCACCCTTTCTTCTGTCCCCTAGAAGGCCTTGCTTCCACTCCCAAGTGCACTCCAAGCAGGGGATCTATTTCTCCCCCAGCAACCAGAGAATCCTCAGACCACACTGTCTTCTGCAGGGTCTCCACCCTCCTTCCCCACGGGAATACTGCTAAGCCAGGCACGACCTTGGTAGTGGTGGACTTCTAAAACTTGTTGCACTCCACTCCTTATAATACTTTGCAGTAGTCTTTTTTTTAGCAGGGCTCCCTCTCCTCTGGAGCACCCTCAGTTCTTATCTCCCCCAAATCAACTCTCTGCAGATTCTACCCTCCACAATTTTACTTGTAGTGTTATTTTTTCAGTCAGTTGATTTCTTGGGTGTTCAGAATGACTGGATATTTATCTAGCTGTGTTCAAGGGAAGAAGGAAGCTTCCCCCATCCCTCCATCTTAATTAACTTCTACCCTCTAGGGGCGCCTGGGTGGCGCAGTCGGTTAAGCGTCCGACTTCAGCCAGGTCACGATCTCGCGGTCCGTGAGTTCGAGCCCCGCGTCGGGCTCTGGGCTGATGGCTCAGAGCCTGGAGCCTGTTTCCGATTCTGTGTCTCCCTCTCTCTCTGCCCCTCCCCCGTTCATGCTCTGTCTCTCTCTGTCCCAAAAATAAATAAACGTTGAAAAAAAAAAAATTTTTTTTTAAAAAAAACTTCTACCCTCTAAACATTTGAATTTATTTCTAAAGATAAGATGAAAGACCTAGAGATACAGATTTGAATTCCCCAGGCCCCCTTAGACCCTAATTATGGTTCTGAATCAAAGTTACTATCCATAGGATAATGATTTGCTCTTCCTGACTTAGGCCTTCAACACAAGAACACTTAGCACTTAAGTAGCCCTGTATAATTAATATTCTGTGTGTTGTACATATGTTAATTCATTCTATCCTCAAAGCAAGGAACTTTGAAAAGCAGTTTCTTTATTTTACCAATAAAATTGACTGTCCTTGGTTAGTTGGGTGATTAGTGGAAGAACTCAGTTTCCTTAGTCTTAGTCCAGTAGATTAAAAAAAAGAGAGAAAAGGTTGTGTAGTTTTAAGGTACTTGAACAGAGCATCTTATATTTAGGAATGCTAGGGATTTAGTGTTTAAATTGCATAATGTTGGCTATATACTGCCTTTATTGGGTGGCAGAATACATATTCCCCAAATGCTAGGTCTGCATTTGAAGAAACAAATAAACTATTTGAAGATTCAATATATAAAACTAGAGGTAGTGATCTTAAATTGATATAGCAGGCATTTAGAAAATGTTCAAGAAGTATGTATGTGTAAATTGCAAGGAACATAATATATTTTTCGTAATTAATGTCATATATGATTAGCTTAAAGTCTTCTTTATTTACTTTTTTTGAGAGAAGCAAGATTATCATTAATTCAATATTTTACTAAAATACCTATGAGGTTTCCTATGAAGCCCATCAGAGACTATGTGTACAGCTAGACATTTTTCCCACTTTTCAAATTTAATTGTCTAATAAAGCATCTGTATATGTAAGGTTAAAATGTAAGTTATTCACACTTCAATCATTAATGGATACTTTTGTTTGTTTTACTGCAGGCCATTTTGGACATGACATATTTTGAGGAGAACAAACTAGTAGATGAAGATTTTCCTGAGGACTCTTCACAGAAAGTAAAAGAGCTGATCAGTTTTCTTTCAGAACCAGAAATTTTAATTAAAGAAAATAATATGCATCCAAAAGTAAGTTTTGTACTCCTGTGAATTATGGTGGAATGCTGTTCCTTCCTCTTTTGCTCTTTAGAGTCTGTCATTTCTTCTTCTGGAATGTGTCTTTGTCTCTGTTTAAAATGAAGATTAAAGGAGGGATGTATGAGACTTTAACACCTCAGACCAACATCACAACTAAAGTATCACATATATGTTTCACAATATTTGCATGATGGAATTGTATTGGAATTACTGGTGCCTGATCATTTTCTAAAGACAGATATTTGCTATTTCTGCTCCCTTTACTTCTGCAGATTGAAGGTCCTGAGGGATCTAATTAACACATCTCTTGTCCTTTTTACAGTCTTTTTCCTCCTGGGCATTTGCTGCTTTTCTTCCTATTGATCACCCCATCCCTCTGAGGCCCTCAGAGCCTGGCTCTTGTTCTTCCCCAAACATCTGCCCTTTCTCCCATCCTGGAAAGATACACCCTCACCAAGGATATCTTAATCCTCTGATTTTCTCTATTCTGTCTGCTTGACAACCTGTTCACATGCTTTTTATTGTCATCTCTATTTAGATGATTCCAAGATTTTTGTCTAGCCCTGGCTATTCTTGCAAGCAAATAATTTATTATCTTTAACTGCCTGCTGGCTCTCTTTACCCAGATTTTTTTTTTTTTTTTCTCTATGTGTTTATCAGGGGATGTTAACTGTGGGAACAAATAATCCCAAGTTTTAAATGATACAACACAGTAAAAGTTTGATATATTAAAACCTTATATATATGTTTTTTCATTATTTTATTCTAACAGTACTACAAGTGTCATCTTGTTTCAAGTAACAGATTTCTAAAAAGTTACCCTTTTTTAACACTTATTTTTTATTGAACTGTTGTTGACATACAATGTTACATTAGTTTCAAGTGTATGGTATAGTGATTCAACAATTTCGTATGTTATGCTATGTTCATAAGTGTAGCTACATCTTCCAAGGCAATTACAATACCATTGTACCCATTTTCCCTGTGATTTACTCATTCCATAACTGGGAGCCTGTATATCCCGCTCTCTCTCCTTCACCTGTTTTGCCCATTCCTCTGGCAACCATCAGTTTGTTCTCTGTATTTATGAGTCTGATTCTGCTTTTTGTTTGTTTATCCATTTGTTTTGTTTTTAGATTTCACACGTAAGTGAAATCACGTGGTATTTGTCTTTCTCTGTCTGATTTATTTTTCCTAGCACGATACCATGTAGGTCTATCTATGTTATCACAAATGGCAAGATCTTTTCTTTTTTATGGCTGAATAATAACCCTTTGTATCTACCACATCTTTTTTATCCATTTATCTATTAATGGACATTTGGGTTATTTCCATATCTTGTCTATTATAAATAATGCTGCAATAAACGTAGGAGTGCATATATTTTTTTAAATTAGTCTTTTTGTTTTGGGTAAATACCCAGTAGCGGAATTACTTGATCATACAGTAATTCTATTTTTAATTGTTGAGGAACATTCATACTGTTTTCTCAGTGGCTGCACCAATTTACATTCCTACCAGTAGCATACAAGGGTTCCTTTTTCTCCACATCCTTACCAACACTTATTATTTCTTGTCCTTTTGATTCTAGCCATTCTGACAGGTGCAAGGTGATATCTCATTGTGATTTTGATTTGCATTTCCCTGATAATTAGTAATGTTGAGCATCTTTTCATGTGTCCGTTGGCCATCTCTATATATCTTCGTTTGAAAAATGTCTATTCACATCCTCTGTTTGCTTTTTGATTGTATTATTTGGGTTTTTTTGGTGTTAAGCTATATAGATTCTTTATATGTTTTGGATATTAACCCCTTATCAGGTATATCATTATGTTATTTGCAAACATCTTCCATTCAGTAGGTTGCATTTTCATTTGTTGATGGTTTCCTTTGCTGTGCAGAAGCTTTTTGTTTTGATGTAGTCTCAGTAGTTTATTTCTTTTGTTTCCTTTGCCTCAAGAAAAATACCTAAAAAAATATTGCTAAGGCCAATATCAAAGAAATTACTGCCTATGTTTTCTTCTAGGCGTTTTGTGGTTTCAAGTCTTACGTTTAGGTCTTTATTTTATTTTGAGTTTATTTTTGTGTATGGTGTAAGAAAGTAATCCAGTTTCATTCTTTTTCATGTAGCTGTCCAGTGTTCCCAGCATGATTTATTGAGTGAAAAGTTATCTTTTTAATCAGATTATGGAATACTTATATTTCAGATATATTAGAAATGGCTACTAAAATACTTAAATATTATTTTCTAAAAAATTGTAAATTGGAGTATTTTCACATAGCAGTAGATTTCTAAACTTATAATTGATTCAAACAAAGTAAGGCATTCGTGAATAATAAGTAGCCAAGTAAAGGGCAAATTTTGTGAAATGAAAGTGTTTTGAATTGCTCAATATTTTGGAATTTAATTTTTATTTTTACAGATGTGAGGTTTCTTTTTTTAGCTAAGTCTTTGTTGTATTTCAGCCCTGCGATTTGCTTGGGGATGAACTTCTGGAATGCCTCTCTTGGAGAAGAGGTGCTCTACTCTATATGTATTGTCATTCTCTGACCAAAAGGAGAGAGTGGCTCACAAGAAAATCCAGTTTGCTTAAAAAGGTAAAAAGGTGTTCCTTATATATTTTAGACTGTTGACTTTACAGGTTTCAAAAAGCTGTCATTGGTGTAGTACGAAGAGTAGTGGAATCAAAGGGTCTGGGTTTGCACTCCAGGTTTCAACTTACTAGCTATGTATTCTTTTTTAAATTTTTTTTTTTTTTAACGTTTATTTATTTTTGAGACAGAGAGAGACAGAGCATGAATGGGGGAGGGGCAGAGAGAGAGGGAGACACAGAATCGGAAGCAGGCTCCAGGCTCTGAGCCATCAGCCCAGAGCCCGACGCGGGGCTCGAACTCACAGACCGCGAGATCGTGACCTGGCTGAAGTCGGACGCTTAACCGACTGCGCCACCCAGGCGCCCCTATGTATTCTTAAGCATATGGGAATTATTGTGAAGATTAAATAAGATAACATGTGAAAGCCTTTGTAAACTGGGAAGTTTACGTGCTGTTTTTAAGTTTGGGATTTTTTTTTTTAAATAGAATATAGACTGTCTGTATTAATTTCTAAGCATATTTATGGCCTGAAGGAAACAAACTTGGCTGTGACCCTCTCTCTGTCAGCAGATAACTCATAAAGAACCTCGTGACCCTACTGTAGAACACTGTAGCCCTCTGATTCGTCTTGACTCTTCTGACCAAATCTGTAAATCCAAAGAACCTGTCTTACGTTGTTTTACTAAGAATTCAAACTTGAGTTGGTTGTATACATAGTTTATGCGGGCCTAGAAATGAGAGGTTACCCTTGATGTAAAATTTTGTTCATAGTATTTCTTAAATTATAACAAGCACATGTTTTAATAAATTGTTTTTGAACAATTAATTGTTTTATCTTTTTCTTCCTCTGTTAACATCTTTGACAAATATATTACTGAGTCATGTGTTCTTGGTTAGTTCTTTCTTTTTTTATCTCCCATACTCTTTTGCTAATTGGAGCATTTGGAAGGTTGTATTTATAAAAGTTTTGGGATGGGGTGGGTCCTTCTACCATTGTGATATAATAACCACAAGATACATTTACAAACTAGTCAATTTTCTCTTAAGTAAAGAATGGGGGGAAATTAACGTTTGAGGTTTCTACAGTTCTTCATATAATACTTATAATTCTTTGGCTTTGATTTTCATTTAGTATCTTATTGATGGAATCAGTTACTTGCTACAGATGCTAAATTACCGGTGTCCTATCCAGTTAAATGAAGGAGTTTCTTTCCAAGACTTAGACACAGCTAAATTACTGAGTGAAGGTAATGTGATCTCTTTTTGCAGTTTCCTGTTTTAAAGGTTTTTTTTTCTTAATTTTTACGTTTACTAGACTTTACTCTGATTTAAATGAATTTCAAGATACATTATATACCAAAAAATAATAAAAGGGCTTTTAAATATCTTCTCATGTAAAAAATAAAAAATACTGCTATTCCCTTTATAGTAACTTTGAAAGAATTATATATCATGCTGCTTTTATTTCATATCCCCAATTAGCCCAATTAGGCACTAGATTTGGCTACTTGAAACAGACTGGAAATAACTTTTTTTAAGTTTATTTATTTTGAGAGAGAGATAGAGAGAGCCATGCATGCAGCTGGGGAGGGGCAGAGAGAATGGGAGAGAGAGAATCCTAAGCAGACTCTGCACTGTCAGCCTAGAGCCCGACTTGGGCCTCGAACTCACAAACCTTGAAATCATGACCTGAGCCTAAATCAAGAGTTGGATCCTATCCGACTGAGCCACCCAGGTGCCCCGGAAGTAACTTCTAAACAAGTAGAAATTTACTGCTCTTTCACATAAAAATGGTCTTACGGGGCACATGGGTGGCTTAGTCAGTTGAACGTCCGACTTCTGCTCAGGTCATGATCTCGCGGTTCCTGGGTTCAAGCCCCATGTCAGGTTCTGTGCTGACAGCTCAACTTGGAGCCTGGAGCCTGCGTCAGATTCTGTGTGTCTCTCTCTCTGTCTCTGCCCTTCCCTCACTCGCACTCTCTCTCAAAAATAAATAAACACTGAGAAAAAAAAAAAACAACAACCAAAACCAGAGCTGATTATGGTGATTCCTATCAGGATCCTACCTTTTTCCTCCATCATCTTCAGAACTACAGCCTTACAGCTTCAGAGGGAGGCATTTATACAGAATACATGTAAATAGTACTTCCCAGAGTTGTGCAACATGCACCTCTGTTGAGGATATTGCATTCTCTGTCTCAACATGCTTCTGGAGGTCTTTTCGTCTCACCTGTGTTTCAGTCTATAGGAATGGCAAAAAGATGTTTCTTTCAGTCAACACTGCTCCTTTGGAATAACCTTCTTAAAAGTTCCTGACACTTAAAACTTCCACCTACATTTCACTGGCAATAATTTAATCACATGGCTTCAGACAGGTACAAGGGAACCTGGGATTACAGTATAGCCCTTCACCTGATACATTGCCATCCCAAGTAAAATTGTCTCTTAACTAAGAAAGAAGGGAAGAATAAATACTAGGTGGCAAATGTTAGTTCCTGTCATATCTATCCACCTGAAAATATTAGGAACTGGATATAGAGCATCATTTGGGTTTTAGACTGAGGTGTGGGAGGGAAGAACCACTTATTTTTGCCATCTCTTTATAAGTGGAGGAACTGATGTCATGATAAGCCAGAAGATGTGTTGAAGGTCACATAGCTGGCAAGTGACATTAGATTATATGTGTAAACTTTCTTTTTACTTCATCTGAAATTTTGGTGGGGAGAAATCAAATACGGAGAAGAAGAAAACTTAGGGAAAATTCTATATTTCAATTTTATAAGTATATTTTAATTATCCTTTTTCTTTGTTAGCTTTTGTAGGTTTTTCCATTTTATTTGAAAACACTGCTTAGAAAAAAGCAGCATGATTTAAACTACTGAAAGTTGTTATTTTCAGTTAATTCAGGCACGTAGCTGTCCTAAAAATTGCAAATACCAAATGCTCCTCCAGTGGGCCTGTTTTGACAAACATGGTGTTTTGGTTTATTTGTAGGAAGTATTTCTTGCGGATAACTAGTAAACTGATTAGCTGCATTGACAGTGGCCTTTCTAAAATCTCCTCACCCACCAATATGGATTGATGTAAAAGAAAAAGTAGGGATGGGCACGAAAGCCTATTTAGAACCAAAGAAAGTAGCAAGAGTCACCAATTTCTCTTATTCTCTCATTTCTAATCATAGGGTAGTATACTCTTACGGCTGGAATTTTCTCTTCAGGATGTTTGTGGTACTAGTGTCTTCTCTTAAATCATAATTTGATTGCATTAGCCCCTAGCTTCCACTACTTCTTCCACAGGAGAATCAAAAGGGACAGATAGGGTCTCTTTTTTCCAGGAAAAAAAAAAAGAAAACAACATCCACTCCATAGCACTTTTGCCACAGGGCTAGGTCCTCTTCTGGTGTTGGCTTCTTGTTCTCATCTAAAGCAGTTTGTTCCTCCCTACTTCATTTCTCTCAAGATGTAGGTTAGGAGCCAGGAAGCCTACCTGGCTGAATTACTCCTGATACCCCATCAGAGAGGTTCTAATTATTTTTTTTTCTTCACTTAAAACATTTATTCAAAAATGAAAACAATGTGTTTTGACATGATAGTTTTTGTATACTTAAATCTGTATATTTTTATACATAGTATGGTTTTGAAAATTAGTTCTTAGTATTCTGTAAGTGTGAAAATTTTATTTTAGATTTAGGAAGGATCTTAGAGAATTTTATTTTATTTATTTTATTTAATTAATTAATTAATTACTTTGTTTATTTTTTCAATATTTATTTATTTTTGGGACAGAGAGAGACAGAGCATGAACGGGGGAGGGGCAGAGAGCGAGGGAGACACAGAATCGGAAACAGGCTCCAGGCTCCGAGCCATCAGCCCAGAGCCTGACACAGGGCTCAAACTCACGGACCGCGAGATCGTGACCTGGCTGAAGTTGAACGCTTAACCGACTGCGCCACCCAGGCTCCCCTAT